TTTGGGGGTGTTCTGGGGAGATGGAAGGAAAATCATCACCCACTCAAGGGTACCAGCATGGACCTGGGGTGCTGCTTGGCCTCCAAAGCAGGGAGTGCAGGCTGGGCTGGGAGCTGGGCGTTCTTGGAACTTTGGGGGGAACTTTGAGGGTCACCCTGAGGGTCTTGGAGTTAGGGGTTACCCCTAACCTTGGTGAGCCCCCTGAGGGTGTGGAAAGGCAGGGCTAGGCCTTCCATAGCCCCCACAATGGGAAGTGGGGCAGTTTGCTCAACCCCAGCTCCTGAGTCAGCGTGGCAGTTCCTCCCACCCCCTGCCTGCTGCTTCTCCCTACGGCCACCAGGCCGGGAGAAAGGACCCTGACACTCACCAGTTGTGGCAGGGGATTCCTGGTCACCTGGGGGCTGCCTGGGCCCTCCTGAGCCCCTGTACCAATGCGGTGTGGCTGGGGTCTGCTCAGTTCCATGCTTCTGTAGTCCTCTCTTGCTGCTAGGGACACATGTGTGATGAGCTGGCTAGTCTCAGGCAGGTGCTCAGGTGGCAGGAGCTGGTGGTGGGGCTGTGGAGGGGACAAGACCAGCCCTGTCCCTCCTGCCCCCATCCCTCTGCCTGCTCAGCAGTACCAGACCTGCCTGCAAGTCTCATGGCATGGTTGCCTGGAGCTGGCACCAGGCACCGCTTCCCTGCCCTGGTGCTGTCATTTAACCTCAGACCTGCTGCAAAACCACCCTGCTGCATCATGGGGAAGCTGTGCCTGCACTGGGGCTGGGGGACACACACAGGGTCTGTCCCCTGTCGCTCTAAGCTGTGCTTTCCTTGGTCTCCCACCAGTGAGAAGAATGGGTTCCATGTCAGAGGATCTCAGCCTGGTCCCCCTGCACCGGAGGCCAGAGCTGCTGGAGGCCTGTGCTGAGCTGCTGGGCGAGGAGTGGGGAAAGAGCCGGGCATCGCGGCTCCACACGCTCCAGCGCTCCTCGGATGCCTTCCCTGCCTGCCTGGTGCTGCTGCGGAGCCGGGGCCCTGCTGAGGCCCCCGGGGCCCCGGAGGTTCCCTGTCAGCTTGTGGGCCACGTCCGGCTCTCCCGTGTGGTCGGCCGGCCCCACGACCTCTTTGTAGAGAGCGTGGTGGTGGCCCGGGCGCTGCGGGGCCAGGGCTAGGGGCGGCAGCTGATGGAGGCCACTG